AAAAAGACAAAGGCAGCGGCGGGCGGTTCTTGAAGCCAACGAGGCTGCCCGCCGCAGCTTTCAGCCCGACCGAATCCGACGGTGAAAAGGGTACCCTCAGCTCCGCCGGCTCGTGGGAGCCCCGTATCCGGCAGTAGCGAGCTGCCAACGACTGTGTCACGGGATGTGCAGGAGGCCGGCGCCGACTCGGCCGTCTTCGAGGCTCCGGTCGGGCATACCACGGCAGGAAGGGCCGAGGCGCCCGAGGATCCGCGGAGGTTCGAGGCTCCCGTCTTCCAAGGCACGCAAGGACGGCATGAGTTGGCTTGAGATGGCAAGTTTCGTCAACGTGAACATAGTAAACATGTACACTTATTATGAGTATGAATTGACAGGTTTATGATAGAAACTGGTATCAAAGAGACGACAGGAAAAACACGTTGTTGTACATGATGAGAACATGATGGGAACATGGCGAGAACATGACGGACAAGGTGATCAGAGCTTCTTCTCGCCGTTCAAATGCCAGGCGAAGACCTTGAGGAACCTTTCCTTACCGTCACCGACCATGGTGTCACATGGCAGGGAATGACCGTCTCAAAATCCCACTCAGCAATGCGGCGGACGCTCTCGCTGTAGCCCGTTCGGTCCTTGGCGCTGAACAGGTGCCACTGGACGCGCCTCGCCCACTTGCCGTCGCCTTCGGTCGTCTGTAGGCTGCCGAAAAGCTTATCGGCAAGACCAGGAGCTTTCTGCGCGTCGGGTACCCGAGAGTACTGCTCGGTGGCAGGCAGGTTGAAAAACAGATCGGCCTGGATGAGGACACGATCGGGGCGGAAGTAGAAGACGAGTTCCTTGTTGGGGTGAGCGTCTACAAATTCGTAATCAAAGTCGGCATCGAAGGCCGGGTCGATGCGGAGGTCGCGCTTGGCGGGACCAGCCTCGAAAACGACGGCAAAGGGGTCGTCCCGGATCTTGTCGTCGCTGGATGCCTGCTTGGCGCGTTTCTCGGGAAGGCCTTGCGGGCCGATCAGCTTGGCATCGGGGAAGGCCGCCTTCCATTCGGAGAGGAAGATGTGGTGCTCAATATCGGGGGCGATGATGTGGGAGACAGTAGTGCCCAGGGCGGCGATCTTGGCGCGGACGTCGTCGGTCAAGGCGACGGGGGAGAAGATGGCGAGGGTACCGGTGGATAAGCGCACCAGGGTCCCGCGACCACCAACCTTGATCGTGCCGAAGCGTAAGAAGGGGACGGAGAAGGTGGTGATGTTGGGCGTCACGTCACGAATGACCATAACGTCGGCGGGATTGGCAGGTATGAGTTTGGATGACATGTTGGGCAAGCTAGTTACTGAAGTAGTGGTGGACTCAGGAGACGAAGTGCGATCCGCAAGAGATTGATCTGGGGAGTCGAATGCGGTATGTTGCGCTTTGAGGGTTGAGTTCGAGGCTTGATTGGATGACGAGGTTTGGCTGTGAGCTGAGCTGTTGTTGGAGTTGGAGCTGCTCGAGTTGAAGGAACGCCGGTGAAAGGTTTGGCTGAAAGATGTTTGTGTTCGTAATAAAGGTGTGATGCGTAGCGGGTATCTGTAGGTTCGCTGTTATGTGGAAAAGTAGAAAATCAGCTACAGATTGAGAGTGGTGACGAGGCTATATAAGAAGGGTGGGTTGACGAAGAACTTGTGAACACAATGATGGTGATGATGCAAGACTGAGGGCTGGTCTCGGGCTTGAGTTTGGGGCATGAGCTTACCAACAGCAAAGAAAATTCCAGTGGGGATGCCGGCGGCATTGGATTGATGGAGCTTCGTTCAGTTCGGATAATACGGTCAAGGTCTCCTCTACGGCATTCCCGGGTTTGACGAACACCCCGACTCGGACTGCTATTTGGGGTGTGTGGATGTTCAGCCTCGGATCAATTGATGCAGGCCGCTTGTAAGGTATCCGAAGGGGCTGCTTGTCGGTACTAGCCTGTGTGGTTCTCTGATTTGAGACTCGAGGTGATGCGAGGCCACGACTATCCAGACAGCAGAAGCAAATGGTTGCAAACAGGGAGCAGCGTGCGGACAGGGAAGTAATTGGAATTGCTGCCACACTTGGACATGGAAATGAAGGCAGCGGGGGAACATCTGGCCGCTTGCGATCACGAATGCACCCGCCCCGCGTCGGTCGACTGACGGAAGGTGAACGCTGCGACTCGCTACTGCCTTGGGTGGTGCAAAAATGGCCAATAGAGTCATGACATCACTGGGGTGTCACTTCCTGGGCGGACCACCCGAGCAAGCCAGGCGACCTGAACTGAAGTACCGGGTGGACCTGCCACTGGCAAGTCCCCGGCGCCTCCAGCATGTGCCCCACGGCAGCACCACTGGATGCCGAGGCCTGGTCTCCTTGAGGCCTAGGTCCGTACCTAGCAATTGTCATCAGTGGAAGCCACAGTGGGACAGTCCCACCAGCCGCAGTCCTGAGAATTCCAAATTCACAAACTGAGGCACCACTTGGCTGGTGCTCAGTAAGCGACTCGATCACCACCATTACCATCAACGACAAGACCTCACTCAACGCCGGATCACATCTTCCTGACTGACCTATCTGGCTGCGCAACCTTAGACGATGATAGTCCTGCAGTACCAGTCAAAAAGAAGGAAAAATACCTGTCATTTCTGTTCGTGATATTCACCAGATTGAGTTAGCCTACCCAAGCATATCTATTGGAACCCGCATCATCTATCCCAAGCACGCCGATATTCTCCTCACACCGAGACATGCCTCCAAACCCCATCTCGCAGCGTCAAACATCAGCAGCAGCCATCGTGGAATAGCTGCAAGCCCTTGGTTGACCATGCGGAACCCGTCGCTGAAGAATCGCTCATCCACCATAATGGGATCGCATCCAGTCATATCGTGGTAGTACGCCCTCGTCAGGCCGTTTGCTCTGAGCCACATGTCCTGCTGCTCCTTCAGCGCCCACCATGTCAAAATTGCTTTGAGAATGACGGCCCATACAGTCACATGGAATAGCACAACGACCAGGTCGCTTGCTTGAAGCTGCGGCCACCGAAATGGTCGTCCCCTCTGCATCAGCTCCGTCGGAGATATCTTCTTGGACCATGTCGCCAGTCGCTGATTCGTTCCCAGAACCAAGTCATGCATCAAGATCCCGAAATAGAGAAAGCCTGCCCACACAAAACTTAACAGACGCCTCCAGGCCGAGCCGTTACTGCGAAGGGTCGATTCCAGGCCTGACAAGGACCGCCACGGCCGCGGCTCGTTTGTCTTGGGCCCCTCAGGCGCGCCCTCAAAGTTCTCCTGGACGCCGTCCTGTCCCTGCTTGACACCTTTCAGATCCCCTATTGTGGTATGAAGCCTTGTTGCAGTTGTCTTCTGCCACGCCTCAAGCCTTCCAACGCGAACTTCCAGTTCAACATGGTTCCTCTTGGCCTGCCTTAACTCGTGTTCAAGGCTTTTAACCCACTTGATGAGCTTTCTGACAGGTGGCTGGTCGAGCACCCCCTCTCTGTCCTTCTCCTCATCATTCCCCCTTTCGTTCTTGTGTCCATGCAATTGATGCGTCTCATGATAGAGGTCTTGGATCGCCGCGGCAACGGCTTCTTGTGCTTCTTCGAGCTCACGCTTGATTTGCTGGAGCCGTTTTCGGAGCGGTTCTTGTACCGCTTCGTATCGATCTTCAGCCTGGAAAAGCGCAATCTCAAGCTCGTTCGCCTCGGAGGTGAGCTTGGTGAGTTGCGTCCCCGTTTCCTTTGACTTAACGGTCATTTGCGTCATGAGCTTGCCCAGTCGTTGCTCCCTGTGCAGATGCCTGCTCCTGGCACATGTCGTGCTCCTTAACCAATCTCGGCCAGGTACGTCAGGCAGTCTTGTTAAAGCTTTCCCTGTATATCTTGGCGCTGGAAGCCAACGATTCGCGTAACTCGTCGATACGTACTTTTTCCGAATTTCTCTTCATAAGCTCTGTTGAGGGCTGCTTGCCTTTGATGTTTTTCTTTGAGGGCCTTGTCGAGATGTTGAAACTGCTTGTTGGTGGCGTCTGCATTGACTGTACGCTCGGTCGAGCTGCGCTTCATTCCCTCGATCATTGACCCAGCGCTTGCCAACTGCTTGCTGAGAGTCGACTTTTCCCTCTCGATGTTAACAAGTTCAGATTGCTGAGAGCTCTTGGTCAGCCTCTGTTATCATCAACAACAAGGTAAAGTCCTCACCAATTTGGCCACCTCCTGGTCCCACTCCTCGGTCCGTGGTGGAATCTGCTGTCCGTCGTCCTTCACTGTTGCCTTGTCTGAGAACTTCACGCTGGTCAGAACCAAGGGATGCCTATTCGGGCTACTCCAAGGACTTACTGAGTCGTCGGCCTCCTGTTCCTGTTCGTTCTCCTCCTGCGCCCACGTATCGAAACTCCCCTCCAAGATAGCCTCGAGATCACTGATCTCGAGCAACTCACTCTCTCGGCCGGCATCAGCAGCCGCACGAAGTGAATCTTGTGCTGCAGCGCCAAATTGAAAGATCTCCTTCATATTCTGCAACCTGGAGTATTCGTCCAGCACGGCTTCCCAGTCAGCCCGAGGCATACTGACCGATTCGCTCCAGCCGACGTGTGCATGGCCGCGCATTATCTTGTCGTCTGGGTAATCGTCCTCGGAACCGGAGGTCTCCAGGTGCACTTCACCTGTCACATCCTCTTCCTCGTAGATGGGGCAATTGGACGACGTATCAGTCGTCGAAGGAGGCGGCCTCTTCCTGCTCTCATCTCCCGAGTCGCTTGCCTGTTTCGTGGAGTCGGACTTTGTGGATGCCTTGCTATCGCTTGAGCCATCTTTCCCCTTTCCTATGTGCGTCTGGGTTTCATCGGCGTAGGACTTCTTTCTGTACGACATTGATCTCCAAGATTCCCTGTCGCGTTCATGCTGTTCCTCAACCACTGCCAGCCTGCTCTCGGTCTCTCCGAGGAACTTCTCTGCGCGACAGGCTGATTCGTTCGACTCCAACACCTTAGCCTCGAGACTCGAGACCCTCGTATTTGCCTCCACAAGTTGCTCCCACAGAGCCTTCTCCCGCTGCGTGGACGTCACCTTCTCGCTGACTGATCCGCTAAGGGCAGTCGTCCGATCATTTTTGCTGATGCTGAGCTGCTTGGTCAGGCTTTCCACCCGTCGCTCCAGTTCCTCTGCCGCGAGCTCAGCCTCAATGCGGGCTTTCCTGGCGTCTTCGGCCTCGGCAGCGACCTCCTTTTCGGCGACAATCATCCTGTCAATGATACTCGCCTGTCGCTCCAGCGCCTCCCGCATCTCCTCAAGCCCGCTGTAGCCGCCGAACATGAACGTATGGCTCGGCGTGCCTCTGGCCGCCGTTAGGGGAAGCCGGCCAAACGGAGAATCGACGGCCATGCTTCGCCGGCCGATCCCGCTCTCAAGAGGCGTTCCGGTGGCGCGGCTGGAGAAGCTCGGGGCTCGTTGCGTGAAAATGCCGGGCAGGGGCTTGCGTCTTGATTGGCCTGGCGAGCGCTTTTGGCTTTCGGGAGACGAGCTGCTGGCTAAACCGTCTCCGACACGGCCCTCGGCAGCCTTGTCCTCATCTTTCTCACTCATGGTTATTGAGTTCTCTTTTTGGTGGGCGTGTTGGCGGTAAACTATCTCAAAGTAAAGGAGGACTTATAGTTAATGGTTTCAAACGGCAAAAATGGTTGGTATGGAATTGTGATCAAGGGATTCAGAGGGCAGCTGCATGACCATCTCGGCGACGGTGTATAAGACATGTTCCTCATCACAAAGAACAATCTGCTTTCCGCAATTCTGTCCATCTTAGTTTCCCTTCCTGTCATGAGAGCTCCCATTCTCGAGAGCCACTAAATTCGGATGTATTCGTCCGGACAAGGAGAACAAAGAGCGTTGCGTGCCACACTTGTCAAGGCGAGTTCATGGAAAGCAATGGGCATGGCAGTCGAACAAAGCCTCAAAGAATATGATTTGACATCTTTGACGGACTCGATGCTATCGCTGGCGACATGCCCAGAGGCCATGGTCGTTGGCTGCTGGAAACCGACTGTGGAGTCAATCCTGGCGGAACACGCACGACATGAACATGGACAAGGGAATATGCGCCACACACTCCTTGAATCTCGAGTAACAGAATGCAAACCAGTCTGCCATAACACAGTAGCATGGAGCGTCACAGGTATCAGTTCTATCCAACTCGCTGATGCATTGCGACGCCGTGGATGAATGGATAGACTCCTCTGTGAGAAGTACTCGGGGTTCGTGACACTTGATGACAGCATAATTTCTAGGGTATTCAAAGCCAGAACTTCCATTGCACAAAGGTATCGCTGCCATAACGCCGTGAAAATGATGCGCGTTCAGCCAAGGTTAGCTGTACCAGCCCCTTGCGCCAGGTCCTTGTTGAGAACTCTCCTGCCGGTGCTCAATCATTGGCGTCGTAATCTGAAAGGTGTCGATGATGTCTCGCCAGGTCTTCATGTCCATGGAGAAGATAGCTTGGTGCTTCATAGCACCGGTTTTTGCGCCGCCTTCTGCATCGCCTGCGTCGACGGGGCCTGCACCAAGTCAGCTTCATGGTTTCATGCTGTATACAGTGCACAGAACATACTCAATGATGGGAGTTCATTCTGATCAAACTCTACGTTGACCTTGCCATCGCGGATGAGGAAGCTGACGTAAAACATGTTTTCGACCGTCTGGCCAAAAGACATGGGGTTGACGACAAACCTCAACAGATCCACGCCGCCCGTGTCACGCAAGCCGTGCTCGTGCATGATCTTCATCATGTCGCTCTGCTGCATATTCTGCCTTGCTTCGAAGATCTCCGACAACCTCTGTTGCGCGTCCATCTGAACCTCCCTCAGTTGTTTCAGGATCTTGGCACAGATTGAGGTGAGATCGTTCTCCTTCTTGGACAGCTCGTCCACGTTCAACACCTCTGGTCTGGTCTCGGCAAGATCCTCTCTGCGGAACCGTGCTGTCCGCTTGGTGATTTTGCGGACCTTCTTCTCCACTGACAGAGGTCCTACCAGGAAGCCGGACAGCGCGGGCCGTCGATTGTGTTGCAGGCACGCAAAGCGACCAAGGTGAGGCCAATTCAGCATTTCGTCGTTTTCATCGTCATCCCCGTCCTGTCCCCTCCTCCGTCGTTGGCGCTGCGTGCTCGACAGAGCTGGCGCGTTGTCGTCGGCGATACCCCCACCGTGTCGCATGTACGTTATACATTTGGACACAAACTCGTCAATGTCGACGCCTTGTGAGGTGTTGCCCTGGACCATGCGCATCGTCTTGCGATAGGAAAGGTCGATTGTGCTGACCAGGAGCCGCGCGTCTATGGTCGCCTCATTCGTCTGCTTCACGTCGCTGGAGAGTTGCTGGGCGCGCCTCAGAGTCTCGAGCAGGCCTTTCGAGTTGGGCTGCATGTATTCCTCCATGTTCTCGTTCAAATTCTTCTGGAGATCGCGAAACCCTCTCTGAATGCGCCGTCGGTCCTCCATCGGCTGGTCCGGATCGTACATGTCGGGGTCGTTCTCGTCGTCGTCGTCGTCGTCGTCAGAAGACGAAGAGCGCCTACGTCTTGCTGCCCCATGCGCAGTATCGGCGCGTTTCCTCTTGCTATTCCGGCGATCTCTGAGGGCGAGCGAGTGCTCCCGGTTGCTGGACGTGCCTTCATTTTCGGATTCGGCTGGCGAGGACGAGCCCCCTGAAGATGATGCGCTCACAGGCATGGTGATGAGGCGCGTGTCTTTCAAGCCTGCAGATTGAGTCGTAAGGCTTTCCGCGGATAGTGTACGGCTGCCATGCGATGGCTTCTCGGGCTAGCTGTTTGGTGGTGCCGAAAAGTTGAAGCGCACCGATGACTTTAGGCGTCGCGTCGAGACTTGAACGCTCGTGGGAGACGCGACGGGCAAACCGCATCCACAGGAACCATTAAAGTTGGTGGGGCCTCCTCAGGCTCGCTCACAGGCAGGCAAGGCAGGTATGCGCCCCGGCGCGCGGGGTACTTAACCTGCAAGGCGGACTGGGTCCTCTCCACCCTGGGATTCGGGTAATGACAATGAGGTGTCTGACTTGGAAACTGCTCTCTGAAGCCCTTGACCGTGATTTTGCAGCTTAATTAGTCTTCCGAGGCGAACACGTAGCCGATCTTATTGAAAGGAACAAAGCGCAAGCAAAGACAGGCACCATTGTGATGCTGGCGTCCGCGCATCCGTCAAGTACAACAGAGGTACCGGCACATTTACGGTCGCGAGCTCTTATCTTATCAGTGACGCCCGCCTGATGTGTGCTCGTGGTGTACGTGCCTTGCATCCCGCGTATTCAGTGACCGCGCGCCCTTCAAGGAGTCGATACTACCACACCTAGTCCAACACCAACATCTGAATCTGCCATGGGGGCTCTCGGGTGATATGGATTCTTTCTCTTTCGCGACTTCAGACTCGCTGAACTACCCAGTCAGCATCCGAGTGTAAGCTCCGACTCTACCAGCCGTAGCTGACCGTTCACTGACTTCTCTAGGATCAACTTGGAGGGCGATGAGACCCCTCTGCTGCCGTCCGCCTTGCTCGAAAGGGCTGAACTCAGACACGTTGGCTCTAATACTAGGTAGGTTTGGAGCCCCGCCTACTGCGCTGCTGGTCGCTGCAGCCTGGCTGACGATATAGCTCGCACTCTGATCTCTACGTCACCGTCCAAGTCTGGGCCGGCTCGAAGCCCTTGACAGTCCCTGTACAGACTGCTTACAAGTCTTTCCGAACTGAAAGAAGGTAGGCACGGCTCAGGAAGTGAGCTCGAAGTACCCGCTGACGTGAAGATCCCAGGTGGAACGAATGGCTCACGCTGCCCATCGAATACTCGACCCTTCCCCTCAACTCATGTTTGGCTATCACTCTTTGGGACCTCTCTCCCGCAGGCGGCAGAGAGGCGCAAGGCCATGCGATACCTTTCGGCGGCACGACACTTCCACTCTTCGACCGCGATAACCAGGTCCAAAAGGGTCGCCAAAAATGCCACATACACCGCCACAGACAGGCCGACGGCCATGACAACACGACGACGCCAGCAACAGCAAGGAAGAAGGGGGCTTCAAAGAGAGGTGTAAAGCCTGCTGTTGATACAGATGCAGAGGAACTTGAACGCATGGAGAAACTGTTCAAGAAGCACGAGATGGGCGAAATCCCTAGAGTGGACTGGCTCGACCAACTCGTCTTCCGCGGGTTCGAGAAGAGGGGCCTGCAGTCGGCAAAAGACTCTCTCAGAGCAGGACAACGCCAGAGAGCGGCTGCGATCAGCGAACTGTCCACTGATGGCCAAGAGGACGACCATACAGCAGACGACGATGCCAGGGAGCAATCCAAATTTCAGCTCAACGTTGAGCTGCCACGATTTGATTTTCCGGTTGTATTTGCAGACTTGGAGTATCCGCCACCGCCGATATCGTCACTGCAGAACATGTCTGGCTCACAGTCAAATGCGTCTCTAAAACCTGTACCGGAGGTTCAGTTCGGCCCGGGTATCAACGGTCTCGGAGATTCCGCAGCAGGCTTTAGCAGTAGGTTGATCATGGTATATGACCCTGAGGTTGGCGCCAAAGACAACCCCGCAGAGACGAAGCACCGACGACTCGTCCGCAGTCAGCACCGACACGGCGTTCTCGACAAAGACTTGAAGCCTAATGCCAAAGTTCGCGACGAGCTCAACGTCATCATGTCATATTCGCCGACTCACGTTCTCACACGGAGAGGGATCTGGATCTGGAAAGTTCCGTACCATCTGACCAGGGACAAGAGGGCAATCACTAAGTTCGTCAAGTCGGTCAACTGGCAAGACCAGAGCGAATCCAAGCAAGCGGCCCAGGTGTTAGGGCGGTGGATCGAGATCGATGTGGACGATGCCCTGGAGCTTCTGGGACCTACTTTCGACAGTCAGATTGTTCGTGCATACGCTGTCAAACGGCTGCGCCAAGCAGACGATCGCGAACTTTTGCTCTACCTACTGCAGCTAGTACAGGCGCTCAAGTACGAGCACATCTCGGCCAACTCTGCCCAGGATGCCACGCAAGACTCATCCTTGGCTGCTTTCCTGATCTCCCGGGCCGCCGCCAATTTCATGCTTGGCAACTACTTCCACTGGTACCTGATGGTCGAGTGCGACGACAATAGCCCCGAGCAAGGACCGGAGACCCGCGATATGTACCGCAAAGTCGCTTATGACTTCATGACCGAGTTGGTCAAGAGACCCGATGGGGCGGCGTCGCGAAAGACTTTACTGCGACAAGCGGAACTTGTTGCCATCCTTTCCAAGATTTCAGGCGAGGTCAAGATGTCCTCCGAGTCCATCGCAAGAAGGACGGAGCGCGTCAAACACTTCCTTGCAGACCCCAAAAACGAGATTGCCACCATAGACCCGCCGCTGCCCGTTCCTCTTGACCCATCGGTCGAGATTACCGGTGTCATTCCAGAAGAGACTGCGGTCTTCAAGTCGTCGCTCTGTCCCATCAAGGTCACGTTCAGGACATCGACGGGCAAGAAGTATCCCATTATCTCAAAATGGAGACGATCTGCGACAGGACCAACTGGTCATTCAAATCATTACACTCATGGACCAGTTGCTCCAAAAGGAGAATCTAGACTTGAAATTATCGCCCTACAAGATTCTGGCCACAAGCACGAGCGCCGGCGCCTCCCAATTTGTGCCTTCAGTCAGCTTCCAGAGCATTGCATCCAAGTACAAGAGCAACCCCGCCCTGGCGTACCTCAAGTCGAACAACCCCGACGACCGCCAGCCGCTCGGGCTACGCCAGGAGACGCTCGACACGTACGTCAAGTCCTGTGCTGGTTATTGTGTGATTACGTACATTCTGGGTGTTGGCGATCGCCACCTCGACCTCCTTTTGTTGGCCCCCGATGGACACT